CTCATTTGATGACCACACTGCTCCCCAGTGTGACTGGACCCGTTGCAGTTGAACTGATTCGAGTCCAAATGGAAATTTCACCTGAGACCTGGGTACCAATCGCCTCTTCTTTGTGCAAATTCCTCCTGGATTTTCTTCCTTGATATCAGTCCCTGTATCCAGTCTTTGATGGTCCCTCTCTAAGAAAACAATGGAGCAACGCATGTTCGTTTTTATTTATCTGAAGGACAAACTTCTTCAAGAGCATTGAGCTCTCCAACCTGGATTCTTCAGGAGTATTATTCTAACAGGAGGATCTGAGGTAAAGACTTCATAATATCTTGCTTGTCTGTATTTTATCCAGCTTATAATCTATATTATGTTTTAGCATTAAGATCTTTAATCCATTTTGATTTTAGTCTGGTACATGTGATAGACCTGTAGAGTGTGCCTAAAGAGAGTCACCCAGAGAGGAAACATTCTCTCAGGCTTTCACAGAGAGAAAATTGGCCAAGCAATGGCTGTGACCCATCCACATGGCTGACACTCACAAAGGATCTGCAAACTGCGACACAGGGTTTCAGGATAAATCCTGAGGGGACTTGACTGACCTTGTCAGATACAGAAGTTACATTTTTTTGTTAAATAGTTTGTGCTTTATCTTGGTCTTAACCATCCAGCAGAAAAATATAAAAATGAGGTATAAAAAGTAAAGCCATATTAATATGCTGAGCTGTAAAAGGCTGAAATCAACAAGTTCTGACATTGCTAGTCCTACAGATAATCCACTAGTATTATGGACTATTGGACTAAATTGGATTATTTTTATTGAATTCAAGCTCTTACAACATTTGAATGGCAATGGAATACCCATCTATGACAAAACTAAACAAAAATGGGGGATATAAATGAAGGTCCATTTTGTTGTGAAAAACATATACGTATCTGTATATACAAAATAGGATAGAGCTAAAACTACTTTCTCTTTTTTTAATGAGAAGATTTATACTAATAGTATTTAGACAAGATATCATGTCTGTATCTTGTAGTCTGAATAACTACTATGAAGACAATAATATGTAGTGTATTAATTATTATAACTGTCCTACTAACCTGTTTTGAAACTGTATCATTGCTATTTCTTTCTCAATAAAATTAATAAAAATAATCTATATTCTATTTTATAATATAAAATCATGAGAAAATAAATAATAAATTCATATTTAAGTTCTTTTTTGCCGAGGATACAGAAATGAGTGGTATCTTTTCAAACTTTCATGCATTTTATCTTATTTATATTATGAAATTAGCAATTGGAAACACAGGACTAAAGTGGTATAAAATATACTCACTGTCCCCAAACAAGTAAAGTGTAAAATTTAATAGTTTCCTATAGACTAAAGGAAAATACAATGATGCAGTGTGAAGAAGCCAAGATTAGAAGTCAAAGAGGAAATAAAACTGCTCTAGCTGAAAAACTCTTCTGATTTCACCTCAGTTTCTTCATTTTCCAGGTACAATTAAGAAAGGCTGGCGATATAGCTGAGTGGCACAGTACAAAGACCTTCTAAGCACCAGGTCCTGAGCTCAATTCTTGAAACCAAAAGCAAAACACAGGTACAACAGGTAAAGTCTATCTGTTTATCTAGAGGCATGATAATGACCAGGTGAAACGATACATCTTCTTAATGTGTTATAACTGTTTATTAGCTCATTAAAGTACCTGACTCTTATTAATATATTACAACTTATAAATCACAATGAAGAAATAAAATCAGATTAACGATCAAGACATTGTAGTAGACAACTAATTATGGCTCAAAAATGTCTGCCTCTGAGAAAGGAGGGTAGGGTCATGGTGTTTGGGTGAATCAAAGAATCTGTGCACTATATCTAAGGTTAATACGGAAGGACACAATGCTCTGTGAGAAAAAGGGAAAGCTATGCATTTGGATAAAACACTAGTTCCTTTTTGGTTGCATGACCTAATATGTATTGAGAATAAAAATAGATTTAGAAAACCAAAGGAGCAAAGAAGCAAGAAGTGGTTGATGTCAACATGTTTTATTTATTTAAACACTTGTAAAATTTAGCTCAATATTTGGTATGTGCTCCTAAAGGTTTGCTAAAAGCTCAGGAGTGGGAGCACTCACTCCTTGCATGTGCTGATGGTGGTGGTACAAATATGTCCATCATGCTGATGTCAAGCCAAAAGTCGGGAAGAGATACATACAACTGGTGCGCAAGCTCCTCATGTTACTTGGTTTACAGTACATCACTGTAAACGATTTCACTGACAGGTCAGATTACATAATAATGGCTTTGAGCAAGATCGGACCAAATCTTATGTAATTTGCACTGCTGAGCAAGATCCGAACAAATGTAGAGCAAAATAAATTTTATTTCACACTGGCCCTGATTAGAATGTAAACTTTGATAGAGCACAGTTGTGTGTCATCTTTTTCTTTAATTAGTGCTATCACTTTGGCAATGACCAAAATAGTATTAACACACTAAGGAAAAATCACACTCTCCCAAACAACTTTTAGGTAGTATGACAGGGACATACAGAAAAGAGTGTGGGGCAAATGAAGCCATTAGTGTCAAAATCAAACCGTTTTTATCTCACTCAAAAGAAATTTGAAGCCACACTGCTGTTATCCATCATTTTAAATTGAGTAGCGAGTCAGCAGCGGGTAGCACCAGATATGCAGAAGGGCAAGAAGAGAGGGGGCCTTAGCTTTCAGAGAGCCTCTCATGTGTTCTCCTATTACAAGTTCTCGGAAGAGTAATTTGATGGAAGCTTTTCAAGTTTTAGGTCAATAGCTTCGATTCAGTCTCAGGGTATCATGAACAAAAGTGGGTGTTGGGTGCCTATGAAGAATACTTGGATGGTCACCCTGGTTCTCTCTAATAGAGACTGCCACTGCAATTGGCACCCTTTCTTTAGCTTCCACTAGCAGCAGCACAAAGGGTGAAAAGAAATGTCATTGCACATATTTTTTTTCAGTCTTTGTGAACAGGAAAGCTGAGATGTGAAAAGTCTATCTCTCTTTCATCTGCACAGTACATGCAGAATTATTCTCTGTAATGCAGCTCCTAGATCTTTCTTGATGTAGTGAAATAAAACCTGAGTCACATTATAAGCAACATTATGTCTTACTTCATAGAAAGTTAAATTATATAATGGACAGTGTCATGGAGAATTTAAATGTAGAACATGCATGCCTTGTTTACTTAAATTTTATAAATGTACTATTTACTTTAATTCCTATTTACCTTTTTGTAATGAATGAAGTTTCATAAAGTTAAAGAAAATTTATCATTTCATTAAATGCATGTGTTTTAATCAAAACCTATCCCATTCAATATTGTTTTTATAATAGTTTGACTGGTCATTTTCTCACTGGTAAAGAAATGGTAAATTTTCCTTCCTTTTAATTGTTCTATTAAAGTCATCCAAATTTACTTATTGCTGATGTTTAATTTTATATAATTTTCCATCCACATATTCTACAAATAAACATTAAATCAAAGTCTGTGGTTACCCACAGAAAAAAAAGCAAGATAAATACTAGAAGAAATCCACAGAGAAGTACCTGGTAATGCTAACCAAATTTGGCAGCAGTAATTACTACTGATATTGGACTAGGGAGAGAGCTCAGTGGTCTCAGTACCTACCTGGAAGGTACAAGGATTGGGTTCTATGCCCAGCACCACATGCTATATTATCCCCAAAATCCGGGCAGGCTGTCCTGGCCACCAAAACCAGGCATGGTGGTGCACGCCTATAATCCCTGTGCTAGGGATGCTAAGATAGGAGGATCTCTAAAGTCCAAGCTGCATAACAAGACCCTGAACCAATAAATAAAGTATTAAAAAATAATTACTGACATTTAATGGAAAGCAGTGTGGTTCAAAAAAGAAAGAAAATTCAGTCAGATTTTAGGCATGATTTTATTTTTATGAGGCTGACTTTCCACATCTGCAAAATGAGAGTGCTCTATTTCATTATTTTTGCATCTGTTTCATTACAAGTATTCTATGGAAAGTATTCATTGATACAGAAGGCATCCGATGGGAGCTAGATGAAGCTGAGTTTTATTTTACCTCATTTGAGGAAAAAACTAAAGCTGAGAACGTACTCGGCCTGCTATAATAAAATCCCTCCTGACCTTCAAGGCCAATGTTCTGAGTTTGTGTCCACAAAGTCTGCCCTCCCAGAACTCACAGGTACAGTAATATGGCATATTCTCTTTGGTATGCTTATTAGAGCAATGACAGTTATGAACACCTTATGCAGCATAAATGAAAGCTGCTCATTTAGGGGGAGATTCAGTCATAGCTATTCCAACAGGCTTTGTTCAGGAGCATATAAACAGCAAAAGCCAAGCTATAGGTTTGTAAACAACTCATGTGCCCTCCCCAAGTGCAAGGCTGCAAATAAACCCACCCGTCTCATCTAAATGAACAAACCAGGTCACAGCACTTTATACAACTTGCCCATGGCCAAAGAATAAAGTCAAGTCTGTCTGAGAATTCAAATGAACACCAGTGGCCTTTGAGTCTCAGGCTATTTCCCCTATGTAACACTGCAGCAAAAATAAAACTAGCTGGACAAAAACATCTAAGACAGAAAACAACAGTCAGCTGCAGACTCTGGTTGCAAAATACAAAATATTCATGTGCATGTGTACAATCCCTTCATTCCTTTTTGTGCTGATTACAGCTAATCCATGCCAGCCAAACATTGCTTCTTCAATTGAAGCAATCAATAGAGTAGATTAGCCGTGGAAACCCTCCATCCACATTACCCAAGCTTTCCTTTCCAGATGGAATTGTCACTCAAGAGAACCTAGGTGAGCCTGCAAGTCTTTCTTCCCATACACAAATAGATTCTCATTAGTCTCTCTGTATTCTGTCAGTCTGTTTGTTTGTATGTCTGTCCATCTGTCTATCTGTCTCTGTCTACACACACACACACACACACACACACACACACACACACAGAGCAGAAATACCTGTAGATTTAGTAAAACAGCACCGACCCTCATGGCTTCACTAATTTCAAGGCTGTACATGAGCTGCGGGAAGCGAGGAGGGCTCTGATTATTTGGAGGAAGTACTTCGATGTACACCGTGCAGATCGACTGCCTGCAGGGAAAAAGAAGAGAACAAGATGTTTGCACATCCACATCCCTTTTAGAGTTAAACTGCATGCTTTACTCATTGGTAGGGGTCACAGGACAAGGAATCATCAAATTTCATAGAAACATTGAATGCAGCATAAAGAATGGAAAAATAAAAGCTACCATTAAAATATAATGATTTTAGAAGATTACCTTAGTAAAAGAAAATGAATTGCTTGTATTATATGTTTTTCTACTTAGATTAATAGTGCAAGTTAAAACAGAATAGTTGTACAATATAGCTAATAAATTACTTTGCCTTGACTTCTGACTGTTTTAATGCTTTTACGATAGCAAAAGTCATTCTATAAACACCCTCTGGGCTCTCTTTGTGTTAAGCCAGCAGAGGGAGCATTGATTAAAATAACAGAAAAAAAAAATTATGGACTGTGTTTTGTTAGTTCTGTTGCTGATATCAAGGGCTTAATGTAAGTGTACACTGAATCAAGATCATAAGGTAATTCTTGTCACCCTAAAATAGTTACAGAGTTAAATGTTTTTAAAAGTTCTTTAAGGGTCAGCCAAATAGCTCAACAGATTAAAGCACCTGTAAGCAGGTGCAGGGGGTGCGGGTTCAAGCCCCAGGCGTGCTGAAAGGCAATTGAGACTGGGCGTGGTTGTGCATGTCTGTAATCCCAGTTCTTGGGAGGCTGTAAACAGGTAGATCACTATGAGTCTGATCTAGTAGTGAGACCCTGAACACCCTGACGACCCTTCCCTAAAATACAAAAAACAAAAAAAAAGAGTTTTTTTAATATGAAAAGCTAAAAATTAGATATAATGGAAGACTTTCTTGACAAGGAATTGCACTGAAGGGTAAGAAAATGCTTCACTATTAAGACTTAAAAACATTAATACTGATATCATCATTTTTTTCAATAGCCCTGGACTCTGAAAATTGTTTTGAACAATGCAAGAGGGAGAAGCAAGGTATTCAAGGTTTTCTGAAAAAGAAAGTAGCTAACATGTAAAAGAGACTTAAATTAACAGATAGTCCTTTACCTTGAAATACACAGATGTCTTCTATAAACATGCCACTACTGTCTCCAACAGATGCTTTAAATTTATCTTAACAGAAGTATGACATCAGTTTATAATTTTTAATTTTAATGTTTGTTAAAAATTATATTTGGGGTCAGCATTAACTTAAAATAGTCCAAAACTCTTATTAAGCATTTAAGTTAAAAGATATGGTCACAAAATACTTTTTCTGGGACTAACTAAACTATTTCACTTTTTGAAAAGATTTTAAGTGAAATACAGATCATAGCTACAAAAGCTTGGTCTTACAGGTTGTAGTTTTATAATATGCATGAATGTAATTTTCTTTTTTGCAGTACTGGGAATGGAACTCAGTACCCTGCGCTTGCCAGGCAAGCACTTATTCTACTGAGCTATCTCCCCAGACCTATAAATTGTTTTTGAACATATCCTCAGTAAAGTTAGAAAACTTGGGGACCAGAGAGATAGCTTAGCAGCATAAGCTCCTGTGTGGCAAGAGCAAGGTCCTGAGTTTGATCCTTGGTGAAAAAAAAAAGAAAAGGAAAAAAGAAAGAAAAGAAAAAAACAAGAAGAAAAGCAAAGCTAGAGTGACAAAGAATTTCGTTCTTCCATTAATCACAATATGGATCTAAGATTACATAAATAAAATCTTTTAGACTTTTAGAAACAGTTAAAATTTCTGTATCCTTGTTACCTTTGATTTCACACTTTATTATTTGAAATTCAATAGTAATCCAAGTTTACTTATTTCACATATATTTCTAATTATATAGTTCACATATATGTGCAGTGATATTTTTATAAATATGCATGAAATGGTTCAAATAAATAATCACTACATTTAGTTCTTAAGAGTAGAACATTTACAACGTTTTATTACGAATGTTAATATATTTCTCATAAAGTTTAGAAGTACTGGTATTGTATGCATCTGAAAGTGAAACAGGAGAAAGTTACAGAAATCCTTACGCATGGTGCGAAGTCCTCCTTCTTATGTGGCGAAGTGAAGGAACGTTCTCTCTGAGGCAGACACGATGCCCTCCCAGGCTATGGTCTGGCCCACAATGTGCATTTTCTTGCTAATGTCACTGCTGCATATTCTAGCTTCTTACATACTTTCAGTTATTTCATAAACGTATTCCCTTCTCTATCAACACCTTCTTTATGCATAAATTCTCTGTCATTGCTTTTTTAAAATTTTTTTTTATTATTATTTTTTTTAATGTGTGTGTGTGTGTGTGTGTGTGTGTGTGTGTGTGGCCAGCTCAGCCCACCAGGGGGCGGGGCTGGCTGGCATGTGGTGCTGGGGGATTGAACCGCGGTCCCTATGCTTTGCTGAGCTTGTTTTAAGTAGGTGCTTTAGACCACTGAGCCATCTCACCAGCCCCTGTCATTGCTTTTATTATTCTCTATGAGTAATAAATCTTACAGCAGTAGCAGCAGGACCCGCACGTAAGCGGTGCTGGCACCAGGATTTTCCCCAGCTGTTCGAGGATTAGTCATTTCCTTTGTGCCTCTGAATGATCTGGGCAGAAGACAGGGAGTAGCTTTGCTCCAACGCGACTGACTCCTTCCTCTGCCTTACAGTTTTGCTTTGCCTGCTCCTTTCCACAATAATTCAAAGGCTGAAATTGCTAATTAGGTTTTGTCTCTCTTCAATGTGGATATTAGAATGATTCTAGCAAGATCATACTTCAGACTTTTGCAGATTTAACATCCTGGCTCTTTCAGTGTGTTTAGATAAATATCACTCTTCCTGAGGATTATTGCCTTTTAACAATGATATATCCTTTTCATCCCTGATGTCAGCATAATGTGGCAGTTAGCTTTCCTATAATTAAACACCAATATATTAATGATAAAATCATAACATTAATGTTATAATAAATAGTAGGAATTCAGCAGCATCACTTAAGGGGAGCCACTAGGTAAGTAATATTTTATATGTGCATTTCATATTTACATTTTATAACCAGGTCTAAGTGCATAGATCTGAGCACCAATCAAACTCAATTTTATTTTTGTGTGATGTAAATTAACCTCCAGTTTTAGAAATGAAACTCATACAGTTTTACTTTTTTGTTCCATAATAAACAATAAAGTAGAATAAGAAAGAAAATGTATGCCTGAGATGTCATGATTTTAAGATACTCTTGAAATCTAGTTAAAATACTATTTTTAACAAGATGATCTAATAACTCAGAAAGAAAATGTGCGATAAGGTTACTAAGCTAATTAGCCACAACAGTTAACTTTAAAAAAGAAGACTTCTAATTTAGAATATGCTAACCTTTCTCCTATCTCATGAGAACAAATTTGGGAAGCATGGTAAGAATTTGTACCTCTGTATGTGGATACAAACCAACCTCAGTTTGTAACAAAGGATATGAATTTAATCAAAATTGTAAATTATCTCAAGTCTTGGGCTCACACTATGAGATCATAACTTTCATTTATTATGCTGTGGATGAAATTTTATCTTGGTCCTTTGCTGTGAGAGCAAACTGAAACGTGAATGAGAGGGAGAGAGACCTAAACTGCTTTAACATGGGAAGTGTTATCATTAAAAAAAGACACCAAGTAGATGTTTTCTGACAACACAATCATCATCATCATCATCATCATCATCATCATCATCATCATCATCCTCATCATCCTCATCATCATCTTCATCAATGAAGGGCATGGCTTACATTGACAAAACTGTGCAATCTATATTGAAATTTTCCATCAAAGACATCAGCATGTTGTAAAACATACCTATTTGTATTTTCACAGCTCTACTTTGTTTCTATAACAGTGATTACAGGTATTTATATTGTTTTCCTAGTAGACTTAATACAAGCAACAGATGGTGTTTTTCTCTTGGTCTTCCACCAATAATATGCTAGAAAATTGTGTTGTGTTTTGGAAGCCCACGAAACAGTCCAGGGGAGGAGAAATTTCAGAATAAAATACAGGAGGTCAAAGAGAACCATGCAGGACATGGTCCAGAGGCATGTGACACTCATAGAACCTCTTGTATAGAATATGACACTTATGCAATTCACAGAAGAATGCACTGCAAAGCTGTGTTGCACAAATAAAGAGAAGAATATTATGGAACAGAAAATAGAGTTAAGGCTAGAGAAAGAGACTTGTGCAATACCTATTGATTTACATTTAATATTAGAAGTAAGGAATTAAAGCCAGGCATAGTTGGCACATAACTTTAATCCCAGCACTTAGGAGGCTAATGCAGGGGAATTGCCATGAGTTTGAGGCCAGCCTGATCTATATAATCTGGTTCAAGGCCATCTTCCACTACATACCAAGACCCTGTCTCAAAAATAAAGGGGTGAGGTGGGATTAAGGGCAGAACAGGGTGGTGCACATCTGTAATCCCAGCACTGAGGAGGCTGAGACAGGATCTCTGTGAGTGGAGTAATACATTCCACAGTCCAGGCTAGCATTAACTACAGAGTGAAAGCCTACCTTCAAAAATAAAAGTGGTGAATTAAACAGGTTATTGATATGATGGGACGTATCACCTTTTCCCTGTCTACAACACAGTGCTGTTTTGTATCTCTTAGTCTATGTTCTTCTTAGCTTGTATCTCACACTGTGACTGCTGTTGTGTGAGCCGGCCCTTACATGTATCTCCTCCTACACAACTGGTACTCCTCCGTCTGGGACTGAACGCCATGGCAACTGACATCTCATCTGGTCTTCTGTCTCAGTGCCTCCTCAGGAGACTTCGATGTGTCAGTACTCGATTGTTAAAAATAAGTGAATGTTTATTCATCATGGCTTTACTAATGGTAAGCAGACCGGGTTATTTAACAGAATATTCACAATGGAAGGTATTTAATTGGAGTATAGATTATCTAGCTATATATCAATTAAATGCAGCCTGGTCTTGCATAAAAATAATTAAAAAGGGATGTTATATCATGTATCAATCATTTCATTATAATTTTATTG